TGCTCCTCTCTGCTGTTTCTGAGAGTCTCTGTAGCGATCAAGGGAGAGATTCACTTCCTCACCACCTTCAAGAAAAGACATTAATCAAATCCACCAGCACGACTGGCATCAAAAGCTCCTGTCCCAGGAGACCTCCTGCACGGGTTGTCCTTGCCTCAGTTTCTCTCCCCATTTAATAGGTTGGGCTGTCGCCCACCTGAAAGCTAATCACAGCTTGTAAATTGCTTGGAGATCCTCAGATGGGAGAAGCTGTGGAAGGGCCAAGTTAATTATAAAGCCTCATTAAATGGTTTAAGGAGTGTGTGGCAGGGCAGTGCTTTGGCAGGGCTGTGTCTCTGCTCCCGGGAGGCTGCTCCCACTGTTTGCTTTAGGCACACTCTGAATTGAATTCCATGCCCTGTGGTTTCTTTCTGCCCCTCCCCAACCTCTGTTTGCCTTCTTCTTTTCAGATACTACCAGAGCATGTACGACACTCCAGAGAACATCCAGATGCAATACCCCGAGGGGCTTAGCCCCGAGGAAACCCTGGAATATGTCACGGACACAGCCAAGGTTCCTGGTTCATGTTTTCTTCAGCTGCTGTGGGATGGGGCTTTGGGCAGGGGCACAGAGAGCAAGCAAGGATGTGGGGAGAGGGGAAAAGCTGTTTCCAAAAAGGGCAGGAAGAGGGTGGGAGTGCTTTGTACGGTGACAGAGGCAACAGGCACTCAGCTGCTAGCACGATGTAGGCGCTCTGATGGATGTGTGGATTCTGGCTTGCTCTCCTTGCTTGTTTTGCTGGATCTGCCCATCTTGATTAACACAGAGCGCTCTTCCTTTGCAGTCCCTGGCAGAAGTTGCCACAGTGGTCGCCCGTGCTCTCTACCGGCTTGCAGGGGGAGCCAACAACACCTCTGCTATTCAGGCAGATCCAAAAACGGTACGAGCAGATGGAATTGAGTCCCTGGCATCTCTGATGAGCCCTCACGTACTTCCCTTCTGTCTCTGTTTATGTGTGTTTACACAGCATGCTGTCCTGTCTGTCTCCGGGAGGGCTTTGCTTCCCCCCTTCTCCCTTTCCCCACCGCAGCTGAATGAAAAGCCTTTCGCCCTTCCTTGCCTCTCGATCTCCGGGCAGACATTGAACCTCTGCAAAACTCCTTTATCCTCCTTCTGCAAAGCAAAAGAGGAAGCTGAGGTGAAACGGGATCAGCGGAGGAGTCAGCGGAGCTGGAATCAAACCCCGTTTTCACAGCTCGGTCCTACATTATATACAGTTGTGATATATTTTTGCTCTCTTTTGCTGTGTTAAGTCCTTGAAGTAGAAACATCTGTCAGCCACATAATCCTGAGAGGTGTAGCTGTTCAGATGCTGTTTCCTCTCCCCTCTGTATAAAGTGGTTTCCATCTCTTTCCAGGTCACTCGAATGCTGTATGGGTTTCTGATTAAAATGAACAATTCCTGGTTTCAGTCCATCATTAAACCAGACATAAAAGGAATTCTGGGTAAGAGCAGAAGAACAACACGGGGGTGGGTTTGACCCCATATGTTACCTGGCAGCTTTCTAAAGCGCCACATTAACATTATCTGCTCCTGGCCATCTCCCTGTCAATCCCATTTCTCTCTCTCTTCCAGGTGATGTTCCCCAACACTACGTCGCCGTTTCCAGCCCTGTGAACACCACCTACCTTGTGCAGTACGTCCTGGCCAACCTGACGGGCACCGTTGTTAACTTCACCAAGGATGAGTGCCTGAACCCTGAGAAAACACCCAACAGTGAGAGAGAAGTAAGCATCCAGATGGGTGAGGACAGAGCTGCTGTCCAGTTTGCTGAGGAGAGCTGGTTAGGAATTGTTCCTGTTGCTCGTGATAACACACAGAGCTGGGAAACTCCCAACAAGGAGGCGTCTTAATGCCTGAGGGCAGAGGAGGAATGAGCAAAAGGATCCCCTTAAGTCAGGAAAGCCTCTCCCCCCGTGGAGATAAAGGGGTGGTCTGGTATTTGCTGGTGGCTGTTTGCTGTCTCTTACTCTCCCGTTTTCTTTGCAGATGTACGAATATGCCTGGGTGCAGGGTTCCCTGGACCCGAACTCGACGTCGCGAGTCCCTTTCTGCGTTCGCTCCACCGTTCGCCTGAGCAAAGCGCTCTCTCCCGCCTTCGAGCTGAGGCAGTGGGGATCCACAGAGTACTCCACGTGGACGGAGAGTCGCTGGAAGGAGATTCGCGCCCGAATATTTCTGGTAGCCAGCAAGGAGCTGGAGGTGAGTTTGGGTGTGTCTGATAGAGGAAGGAGAGAAAAAGAACCATGACTAGGTCAGATCTGTAGGGCTTTGAATAACAGCTCCTGATAGCTGAAGGAATGGTTCCGAGTTTGTTACAGGACCCTGTGGCATTGTCCTGTGGGAGGTCCCAGTTAAGAACGGCCAGGCTTTGATCTTTGGGAATGAGGTAACCAAGAATGCACCACTGGTGATAACCCCACCACCTCCGGCCGTTTGGGGGTTCCTAACCTCATTGCTGGGCCTGAGACAGCGCAGAATAATCCAGAGTCCCATGAGCAGGCTGAACTCTGAATAAAATACAGAAGTGACAGGAGTCTCAACCGCTTCCCCAAGCACAAGAAGCCACAGCAGCGAATCTGGCTGTTACGGTGTTGTGCCAGATGTGCAACCCAACTCTTCCTCCCTGCGGTTCAAATCCCTCCTCGACAGCACAGGAATAACTTCTGCACAAACAAAAGCTGCTGTTGCTTCAGTGTCTCGGGTTCTGGGCAGCCCGTGGCTGGGTGTGACGTGGTTTGAGTGCCAGCAGAACAAGGGTTAAGGGACTTTGGGACTCCGTGGTGCCCTCTGGTTGGCTGTCGGTGATGCCATACCTTGTCAGGACAGAGGCCAGAGCGCTCAGCGCTGTCGTCATCGCAGTGAGCCACCCAAAGGCTATGCAAGCCCAGGCAACTGCTGCATCTCTCGGATGGTTATTTGAAATATGAGCAATTGATTCATGTGGCACGGAGCCTTTTTAACGCTGCCAGGCAAACCCTGCCCACACCCCTCGGCCGGGTACAGCTCAGGGGCCCTGGAGATGCTCGGTTAGAGCCCAACCATCCCTGAAATGTTGACCTGGTAGCAAATGTACCCAGGGAGTTGTAGCAGCCTGTGAGAGTCTGGTCAATGCATGGAGGCTGCTCTGAGATGCTATGGGGAGACTGGGGTTGGGAAAGGGATGAGCAGCAGTGGATCTGCCACGGCGTTAGGCTGGTCTGGTACTGGGGCTTCAGGAAAGGGGCTGAGCAGGAGGTGATCTCCGTTATGCAAAGGCTGTTGGCAGATGTTGATTCTGCCAGCATCTGCACTGGTTGGAGGCATTTACAGTTCCTTGCCAGAGGAGATGACAGTTCACACAGGAGTGGCCAAAGTGGCACGTGAAATGCTTGCCAAAAATACTTGCAACCTGCATCAACCGCTTCGTTCTTCATCCATATTACAACTTTCTTACCTTTTCTCCTAAACCTCTGTTTGTGCTGTTGGTAACTACAGTGAAAGCTGCCCCGATCCCATCAGACAGTTGACTCTAAGGCAAAAACCTCAGAGTATTTTATATTTTAAGGCTCAGCAGTGAGCTGCTCCCTGTAGAGACCCCCACTCCACGTCGATCCTGCGAGGTGCTGCAGGTCTGTGTGTGTAACAGCGGTGCTGAGTGTTTCTCATCCCTTCCTAGATCATCACTTTGGTGGTGGGCATTGCCATCCTGATCGTCTCTCTCGTGGCCACGTATTTCATCAACGCCAAAGCGGATGTGCTCTTCAGCGTCCCGCGAGACCCTGGGGCTGTGGCTTACTGAAGATGCAAGTTTTAACCCTCGGATTACAGTTGTCAAAGAGGAAACTACACTGGAATGCACCTCTCTCTGGATGGGGACACAAATGGTTCGCTCCAGAGCTTCCCTGCTTGGCTTCTGGGGACTGAGCCCCCAAACCAGAAGAGACTTGCCCAGAAAACGGTGCCGACCGAGCCCTAAAGAAACTGCGACTGAGGAGTCCCCACAGCCTTTCCTTTTAGTTTGAGCGAGAGGAGAGGGTTGGTCCTGAAAGCCACCGATGTGCTGGATGTGTTCCCTAAACGAAGGCAAGAGAGGAAGGGGATTTTCCTCTGGGATATACAAGGACCAGCACATTTCCTGGTGTCTGACAGCACAGGTCGCCTGTTGGCGTCCAACAGTCGCTGCGAATCGGTGTAGGCTACAACGCAGGGAGGGCGAGGGGTGTTTAACAGACGATTAGATGTCAACTGTCCTGTCGGGTTTTTTTTCTCAATGGTGCAATATTTTCTGGGTTTTGTACATATATATATATAAATAGTTCCGTTTAATTAAAAAAAAGAAAGCCTCCACTTACAAATTAACCGCTTGCCTGCTCTGTCTTAGTTGCTGCCAAGCGGACCAACACCACCGGATGCTGCGATAGGTTTTGGTCTCAAGAGTTTTTCAGAATCACAGAATGGCTCGGTTGGA